GCTTTTTTTGTAGGCTTTAACAAATTTGAAAAATCTTTTGAAGGTATATTTTGTTGAATTCATAAATATATTCAGTTGCATCTTGTTCCCTAAACAATTTTGATGAGAGTCTCCTTAACTTGAATAATTTTTCTTTTGTTTCAAAATAAAAAATGTAACGAAATGGATGTGTTAGCGCGTTGGGACGATCAAACGCTAAATGTCGTGCACTCTGATGAACTTATTATTTTAAGTAAAAAACAACGCAAATTTAGACAAGATGTGAAAGTCAAAATGTTGTATAAGAGAAAGTGGTATTTCGGGACAGTACTACAGTGTGAACAGTGCAGTGACTCAGATTCAGATTGGTCATTAGCAGACAATTTACTCCTTTCTCGCTTTTATAAGAAGCCAAAAATTAGCAAAGAAATCACATCAACTAAAACTGCAGCAAATGATCTAGTTCTTTCAACAGAAAATAAAACTTTAGTGTCTGATCGAGTTCAAACTACAGAAAATGCCAGTAAAGCTAATTTAGTTCCATTAGACAATGATCAACAAGAAAACGACGACGTATCCAGTGAATTTGAAAACGATGATGATCCAGATAAAGATCCTAACTACGTAGATTTGTGTTCAGTGCTCAAATGCAAAAAAGAAGCTTTTCATTTTTGCAAAGAATGTGAATTAAATACATGCAAATTTCATTTCAAACAGTCAGAATGTTGCCAGCATAATACTACTGTAGCCAAAAATAAGTTCCCTAACATTAATTTTAGTACACCTATATCAGAAGAAGCAAATAAAGTGTGTTCAAATTCGGCAGATGAAGGAAAGAAAAGTCGTCAAAGTCCTACCAGCTTTGCCCAAACATGCGAAACACAAGATTGTCAAAACGAAGTATGGAGTGCATGTACTACATGTCTAATACTTTTTTGCTGGGATCATTTTTTAGCCGATACACCGTGTGCCACACATAACACTCATTTTAGAGCCGTCTTACCATCTACACTCAACTCTACTCCTTCAGAAATCGCTTTAGATAATTCAGCGTCGACTGATTTTAGAGCACCTGAGGAATATATCGTTGAGGGATCTAGAAGAGAAATAGAGAAGCAGAAGGTTACGAAAAAAGCTACTTACAAAACCGTTCAGAAGCTAAGACAAAGTGGAAAACCTTACATCAGACCAAGAACAATGAATTTAGTCCCGCCAAAAAGACTGAAAGAATATTGTAAAGGAGAGACCTGCAAAAGAAATAAAAAGAGATGCCACGATTTTAAAGAGGAAGATCGACAACAGCTGCTAAATGCCTATTATGAATTAGAAAGCATTCAGCTTCAGAGAGAGTATATCTGCCGTTACGTCGATAAATTCGAAACTTAGCAGAAAACTACAAAAGACAATAAATCACGACGCAACTTTTCTTTTCACTACTTTTTACCTCTTCAAAAGGTGCCCGTCCCGGTTTGTAAGCCTTTCTTCCTAAACACATTGTCAATTAGTGAAAAAGTTATGCGTAACGCAATGGAAAAGCTTCAGTCAAGTGGGATAGTTGAAAAGGACAAACGAGGTGGACGATAAGAATCCATGAAGATCAAGGATAATATTGTAAGACAAGCAATGCAAAACGACATAAATAGATTCCCCAGAGTCGAATCACATTATTGCCGCAAGAGTTCCTCTAGGGAATATCTCCACCCCGATTTAACAATTCCTTTAATGAATAACATGTACCTTCAGTTATGCAATAAAGGTGAAGAAGGTAGCAAAAAGGATGTATGCAGCTTATGCATTACATACAATGAGGGCGACACTGAGAAGAAAGTGGAATTGGAAGAAAGATATAAGGCACACATAGAGAGAAAGGAAAAAATTCGAAAAATAAAGCAGCAGTGTAAAGATCAATATATAGCTGACAAATCAATCTTAAGTGCAGTGTTCGACTTACAACAAGTCATTTACCTTCCAAAATCAAACGAAAGTGCAATATTCTATAAAAGGCGTCTAGCAGTTTACAACTTTACAGTATACAACTTAGCCACCAAAGACTGTCATTGCTACACATGGAGTGAAATAGATAGATAGTAAAAGAGGTTCCTCTGAAATTTCAACATGCGTTTATAACTTTATGCAGCATTATGACGAGAAGGGGACTGTAACAGTTAATTTATTTTCTGATGGATGTGCTGGCCAGAACAAAAATTCTATAGTTGCCTCGATGCTACTTTATTTTGTCACCAATAGCAAAAACGTTGAGCAAGTCAGTCTGAAATTTTTTGAACCTTTCCATGGACAAAGTGAAGGAGACTCCTGTCATAGCACAATTTCTACCGCAATGTCTCATTCAGGGAACTTGTTTGTTCCATCGCAACTACTGCCTATTTTCAAATTAGCAAGAAGGAAACAACCTTACATTGTAAATAAGATGGAACATACTGATTTCTTAGATTTTAAAGATTTATAAAAAAATTTACGAATTTTGAGTATCCGTGAAGACGATAACAAAAACAAAGTGAACTGGACAGATATCTCGGAGTTTAAAGTTGAAAAGAAAGAGCCCAATAAAATTTTCTACAAGTTATCCCATTGTGATGGAGCCTACAGAAGCATTACCCTAAAACGGAAACAGGAAATTATTTTTAATTTGCCTGTTGAGAAGCTGAATAAGCAAAGACCCAAAGTGACAGCCATTAAGTACGACAACTTAGTTTCACTGTGCTCTGGAAAGGACCCGGTGGTAAAATCTCTTGACCACATTGCCTTCTACAGATCGCTTCCTCATGAGTAAAATGCTAATTTTTCATTGTAGGAACATTTTGCTGGAAGTTTAGTTTAATTATTCCAACATTATTTCAAAGTTTATTATTAATTTCTTTGTACCAAAAATATATGTTTGCATTATATTAACGGAGCGTATTTTTTTACCCATCTAAAGATCCAAAAATTAGCAGCCCACAGAAGGGCGTATCTCATTTTTTTGAACTTTTCCCGCTTTTTTACATAATGTCAAAGATATTTATTCAAAACATATTTAGTGTTTAGCATATGTATTCTTTTTCGGACTGAAAAAACTAAACTACAGCCAGAAAAATCTTATTGTATTCTTGTGGCAGAAGTTTTGATTGTATAAAGAATTTGAAACCGCTCTCCTGCAAAATTCGCATTTTTTAGATACGCCTTTTCGTGTGCAAGACGACGATGTTATTATTAAATTTAGAAAAACAAGCGCGCTTTGCGCGTCATGTTTTTAACCAGTACACTTATAACCAGTAATAAACGAGCTGTAACGAAACTAACCAAAAATATGCAAACTAACCCGTCCACAAAATGCGTGCTAGTCCTTGTATGTTAATATTGAATTTAAAAAACAAAACGCGCTTCGCATTATACCTATACCAGTTTTAAATAAACTGTAATGAAACAGGAATCCACCAAAAGGTGAATAAAATTCTTATGGCGCTAATTTCACTGTTTGACCTAAGCCGCCATATTGATAGGATGCCCTATTAAAACCCGACACTTCGCACCTTAAAATAGAACCAATTTAATTTATAGATATTTCTTGAAAATTAATATAATCCGCATATATTTATATTGAAATCGGTCCAAAAAAGCTAACTTCAACATTAGAAATGCAGCTCATAAGAAACTACATGTTGCACTAAAGCGTTTTACCATCGATTACAGTATTTACGTACATAAACATACCTCGGTCAGTCAAGCAAAACTTGGGACAAGGACCTATATGGTTAAAGTTGTCGAGATAGCTAAGTAATGCAACGAATTTACTAAGGCTGAAAATCGCTATACATTATATATAACACATAAATAACAGTGATATTTGTCAGTCAGTTGAATATCGGAACTGGGCCGGTCAATGTATGTAAAAAAAATAATAGGTCTATTTTTTTTTAGAGTGACAGCGTGACAGTGACATTTCAAAATTGTAGGTTGAAGTTTAAATTAATAGGTTTGTTCAGTACAGAGCTGGGCAGGGCTTGAGTGCTTTGTGTTTGCGAAAGTGCTTGAAGCACTTTGAGGACTTGAAAGCCCTGTGCTTCAAGCCCTTTTATAGATTTGTAATTGGGGCTTGCAAAGTCAATTACTTTAGAAAAGTGCTTGGTAATTTGTAATTGAAAAAAGTAATTCAAGCCCTTCCAATGAGCTTTAATTACTTTTAGAGGGCTTGAAGCACTTTTGGGAGCTTGAAGCCCTTTGAAAGGGCTTGAAGCACTTTTGGGAGCTTGAGGCACTTTGAAAGGGCTTGAAGCACTTTAAAAGGGCTTGAAGCACTTTGAAAGGAATTTGAATTGACCATCATTCAACCTATCCCCCACTTAAAAATTTTCGATCGTATTTTCTCCTTTTTTTTCTATTATTTGTTTTCTCTCTTAACAATGGAGGTTTTGAATTTGAGATTAGAATGGAATTTAAAAAAAAAAAATGAATGAACTTATTATTCAAATAAATAATTAATTTATATTGGTACCCTATTTAACTTTATCACTGGATTTTTTTCACTTTTCCCCATTGAACATTTTGAAAACCTTAAAATTGAATTACCATGAAGTACCCCAACTACCCCAAGTACCCCAGAACTACATCTCAAAAAAAAACATACTACTGCTACTCTGTGAAATGTAAAGTTCGTCTCTACTATACCAATTCTGTGAGATGAGTGTACGCGGTAGCTTATGCCACTTTGATAATTTTATTACAAATTCAAAGTGCTTCAGGCACATTTAAAGAGTTTCAAGCACATTTAAAGAGCTTGAAGCACATTTAAAGATCTTGAAGCCCTTTTCAAGGCACCCCAAGCACTTCTGATGTGCCTCAAGCACTTTTCAAATGACTTTGAGGGCTTTGTGCTTGTCAAGCCCAAAGCACTTTGAGGGCTTTGTGCTTATGAAGCACTTTTGAAAATAAAAAGGAATTTGTGCTTGAAATTGAAGTACTTTGATAGAGGGCTTAGGGCTTAGTGCTTCAAGCCCTTTTATTGAGGGCTTTGCCCAGCTCTGGTTCAGTAATATTAATATTTTTTGCAGATTTTTACATTTATTCGGGCTGACTGACCAGCACTGTCCCGCTATTCAACTGACTGACTAACACTACTGTTATTTATATGTTATATATAATATGTATAACGATTTTCAGCTTTAGTAAATTCGTTGCATTACCCAAGTTATCTCGACACCTTTAACAAGACACCCTAGGTCCTTGTCCCAAGTTTCGCTTGACTGACCGCGGTATGTTTATGTACGTAAATACTGTAATCAACTGTCCAAAAACTAGCTTTAGTAAATTCAGAGAATTTTTTCGGCGCTGGCTCTTAGACTATATAGTTTGTTTCATGGTTTTAATTTGATAACTAATTTTGATAATTATTTGAAACAATCTGAAAATGTCAAATACGGTAATATTGTCAGATATTTTAAAGTTGTAGGTAATTAATGACTACCTATTGCTAAAATGGATTAAACATAACGGGTCTTCAACAAAAATACAATCAAAGATTGCTATGGTTTTTTAAACGCACCTCTGATCAATATTTTTCTTTAATATTGTCAATGAACTTTAATATGTCATTTCAAAAATCCTAACCAATAAAGAAACAATCGTGCGACGTACGTTTTCATAATCAAAGCAATCTTTGAATGTTTTTTTTTTTTTGAATTTATTTATAATTAATTGTGAATAGTGTAAAAACATAAAATATAAAATTATCACAACAAAAAACTTCTATAGAATAAAAATAATACATATTTTATTCTATTCGTACTTAGGAGTTTTGCTCTTTTTCATGAGGATTTTCCACAAATTTCTGGACATGTAATAAGGCCTCTCCTTTCCGTCATTCCTTTCGCAATCTTCCACTGAAAAAAAATCAGAACCATCACAAAAAAAAGCAAATTATATACTTATATACTTACAGAAGCACAAGAATATCGTATCTATGGCCACGCTGTAGACGTTAAAGAACAAACAGGAAATCAAAAACGTTATAATCATGATTAGTATTATTACTGGTATCCCATCGTCTTTCAAATGAGAATTCTCAATCATCAAGAATAAATACGCGGCGGCACCTACTCCGACTGTTATCAGAACTTCGCTGATGAAAAATACAAAATTTGTAACCTTAAATTTATAAGTTAAAATAACTCTATACTTGGATAATTTTCGGTTCTTACCTTATTCAACACAAAAACTCGAACGATATTCCTCATGAGAAGCGCAAAGGCGTCTTTGGCGCTCCTGCAAAAGTTCTGACCGTGGATTGCGCACATGATATAAGCATTTTTCGTGACGTATTTCGGTAATAAATCGAAACAACACTCACACCCGGATCTGCAAATGATGCCGAGACCCCAAACTTTTTTCAAACGATTCTTCAACAAAAATTTGAGCGTTCCGATGATCGCTATGATAACTGAACCAAATGACAATGTTCCAAGATGATACCTGTGAATAAATATGTTTTAGTAATGAAGCAAGAAAAATTAAAAAAATTGCAAAAGAATATCAAAACGGGGGGAAATGGGATATAAAAAGTCTTGCAATGGTCAGTAAGAGAATCACAGTACCTACCCAGTATCAAGTAAGAATAGCGCCAGTTGTAATAGGAAAACTGTGAACAGAAAATTCGTCCGAATGGTAATCAAATTTTTAATATCTATTATTCTATGACAATGTTCTGTGAATTTCCATTTTTTTTTTACGAAAATGGGCTATTAGATCTTATCCTACACTAGGTTGCAAATTGTTTCAAATCTTCATAGTTTTTTTTTTAAGATAAACAACATTAGGTTATAGTCATACTTCACCTGATAGTTCTATAAAATGCGGCAGTCAAAGCGAAAAATGGTAGGTTGCGCTTTCTCATGGTCCAGTACCATTCGGCGAAAACTTGAGCGAGTACCATTTGACTCAGTGCAGATACGAACCACGTCGACCAGAAGAAACCGAAGATGTTGAGGACTAAAATCATAAATTAATTGAGGTGGTGTGAACAAATAAAGGAAGTATTGATTTTGTTATTTCTGGTATAAATTTATGAAAAATAACTCCGAATAAGCTATAGGTACTTACTGTAAAAAACGAATGGAACATTGGCAAGTTTCGACTTGGGGGTATTGTATAAGTACGCCCACACTAATATAGAATATGCTGTTACCGCAATTTGAAGAACTAACGGCAAAATTGGGAAAAACAGGACCGACGTTGCGGAAGCTATAGCCCTAGTGAACAAATTTAAAAAAATTAACTACATCGATTAGTAAAAAAAAGTCTTTTTGGTGTAAATAGTGATACGGTAGATAAGCAAAATATAAATAGTGCATCAGGTATACAGAGTTGACGGATTATGTTCAAATTCAAATAGACTATATCAAAGATAACTTTGAAATTAGTTTGTTATTCTCTCAACTTATGAAATTATCAACAACCGTGTCGTCGGCATGACTTAGAATCCCTAAATTATGTGTCTTCCTATATTGTTGATACCTTTAGACTTGTCACTAACTACTAAACTAGTCATCAAGTGCTCCATTTATTATGGGTTCTGAAGAGAAGATTGGATAGTGAAAATACACCCTTGCTGATGTATTCGTCTCCTCTAGTTTTTCTGTGCAAAAAAAGGACTTCATTCACCTATTTTAAATTTAGAGACACTCTTTATATTTCTATGATCCACTGGACTTCTATCTCGCAATTAGTATTTTCCCATTGTATAGCAATTCCAAAAGGTTATGGGCCCAGGTCAAGAGGAAGCAGTCAATTTTGGTAACGAGGCGACAGGCACTAATAATTTAAAAAGGTTTTTTTTATTGTAGAAAATTTCATATGTGGAGGAAAAGTTTTCAAGGTAGATGGCGTCAAATTCAGTTCTTTGGAAAATACCAACGCCAAGTTATACCAGCTGAGGTTTAGGCAACTACCGCCATTCGTAGCCGAAATGTGGAAAAGCCTAAAGCACATTCATGAAGATGAGCTAATTAAAATGTGAAGAGAAATATTGAGAAAATTATAATTGAATTAGGAAACTGTTTAAGAAGGGATGATTGAAGTATAAACTTTAGAGAAATCTGTACATATCTAATGATGTGGCAGCGTAAATAATCTCTAAACACGGTATAAAAATCAGAATGCGAAGGACAAAACAATTCTAGAGGTTTGTATGCAGGAAGGTACAATGCAAGAAACCCAACGAGGTCATAATTTTACAGAAATGGATACGAAAACAGGAGAGATATTAGACAACACAAAGCCATTGCGACAAAACGACACAACCCCGTAAAATAGCAAGTATGGAGAGAAAAATTGACAGTTCTCCTTTGAACGGGTTAGGTAAAGATTATTGCTGGCGGCTTCCGAACGGGAGTCTTTGAAGTAAAAGAATTTAATTGAAACAAAAACAACATATTTTCGTTCTCGAGAGGCCATGAAGCGAAAATTTTAGGAACACCTATCAATATTGTCCGGTTTTATAGATTCACAAAGGAAGGAATTATTTCTGATATCGTGGGAGCCGAAGTCAAAAATTGTTACGTGCCAATTTATTACGTGGCAAAACGTAACGGAGAAGACAATAATAAGATTTTGAGGAGGTGGGAAAGTTAATGGGTAACTAAAAAGAGAAAGAATAGAAAGAAAGGGGTTGGTTGGTGGCTGAAATCTAGAAAAGTGATTTCGTGTATAGGGTTGCCGACTAGCTTCCAATACGGAGAGTGGTGTGGGTTAATTAATTAACTAAATATAGAGCGCCACCTACTTTTTCCCTGCAGTACACGAAATCAGCCGATATAACGAAAGCAGGAAACTTCTACGGAACTATAGCAGCACAACCTGAAATATAAACAAGAAGAAGGAAAAAAAAGTGAAACGCTTTGCTACAATCAGGTACGGGTTTTAATTAGAACCAGAACAGGTTGACTCTAGAGCAGGTTCAACGAAGTAAAGAAATCGCCTAGACTAGGAGTACCTAACCTATATACTCTAAAAATAGTAAATACAAAAAAAATTAACTCGAGTCCCTTAAAGTAAAGAGTACCGTACAACAGCAATAATACCTGAAATATACAAGCTCACTAAATGCAGTACCTTCGTAAATGGCCATTTAACCCCAGTGTACAAGTATTTACCTGTATTCAGTGCAGCAATAATCAAAGTAGAAGTAACAATACGTAACCTGAAGGGCTTTAATATTATGTAACAATATAGGTAGTATAGATACCTAGATACCTAATAAAATTGCAGTACCTAACCATACATAACCTGGAAGGCAAGTTTCATAAAAAAAAAGGTGATATAGATATAATTAATTAAAAATTGAAATAGCAACACATAATCTGAAGGATAATTTTCAAGGTGGTAAATCTGCGTTGTTGTGGTGTTTTACTCCAACAAGGGGTTGGCAAGGTTTGATACTACGACAATACAACCAACTTTTCAAACCTGAGTAGTCCCTAATCTCTTGGACTCTCTGACAGGTGAGATCAATATCTTCCAGTGTTTCCAATGGCCTGGGACTGGATCAAGGCCGCAACAAGAAGCAACTGGCCCTGGGCACTAAGGCTTCCAATTGTCTAAAGGAGGCTGAAGATTGTAGGTCCTACTCGAAGTATACAGTAAGCTTAATGTATAACGTATAACTCTTTACTGAAAGTTAGGGACTGAAGCGTGACGAATACAAGGGGACATCTAAGTTAAAGATTAAAGCGTAACTTCTAAAGGTGAAGATTAAAGGCCTGAAACAAATGGACGTTATGAGACAGGGCGTGGAGCAATAGGTAGGTACATATGTCCGATATTCGGAATTTGACCGTATAATTAACAGAAAACTATGCTTTTACATAGGAAATAGAGAAACAGAGAAGATTAATAAGAAAAACGACTCACCAAAATACTTTGACCTTTAGGAAAAAACAATTGGTCACGTTGCTTTTTCTCGACTCACAAATAAAATCCGCACAAGGCGATTGGGTGCTAAAATAACGATTAGCCACCCTAGATCTATGAGAGAAAACTAGACAACTCAGAAAATCGGCAAAATGTGCCTGAGGAATTTTCCCGAACACTTAATCGTGAAAAGTCCTCGACCTGAATGACCTCTGAATGTCCCTGCAATGTCCTTTAAAAAGTGTCTGTCAAAACTCCAAGGTGGAAGGTACTGGGGATTTTGATGGTAGTTGGGGCATGGTACTTATTCAAATTAAGTTAGTACCGGTCATTGACTCTATTTGGAGCGCTGTCAATCTAGTCAATCTACTCCGATCAGACAATCAGCTGTTCTAGTGTAAATATTGTGATTTTGTTTTATTAATAAATTAATTGTCTATTTATTTTAACCCTACTAACAGAAAATCAATTCCATTAATAAACCTCTAACTTAATGATTCTGGGAAAAATTAAAAGTTTGATGGAAAGTTTGGCCACAACTATTGAAAAGACAACAGTGGCTTGACGAAGGTATGCTATTCATTGAGGCGAATATGCTTATTTCCTTTCATTTTAACCCAGGAAAAATCATCCCGTAACAAAATGACGCAAAGATCGCGTATAAAAAGGCTAAGGCATGTCCAAAACTCCAAGGAAGCAGTCTCCCAGAGTATCAGAGTATGAGATTATTTATTAGTAAACTGAAATTGAGCAAAACTGAGACTGAGAAAATTATTGAATCATAATAAACCGTAAAGTACAATTCGGGAAAGTAATCCTTTTCCTTGGGAATCTTGGGAACAAACCAGTCAGTGGTCGAAGTCAATTATGAAATCCGAAAAAAGATAGCTTCAATCGCGAACTGGATGTACATAGTTATAGGAAATAGCACGTTGAAAAATTGGGACGCCGCTAGATGAATCGGAGTTCGGAACTGAGGTTAGGAAGTAGGGTATCGCGGGACAATAGGGCACTACTTGCAAGTGAATTGAACATTGTACTAAGGTGAATACACTTTGTGAACCTAAATTTTGAACTTTAAATTAATCTTTGGCTATAAGTATTATTTGTCAACCTTTGATGTAAGTTATATGATATGCTATGTATAGTAAAAATGTTTATTAAAGCCTGTATTCTAGAGGTTTTCTTTTACTTCAATTCAATAAACTCAATAACTAAATGGATAAATTACTCAAACCAGAAAGATTGGATAAAGACTTCAACTCCAGCAATGCCACTCATCAATGGATTCATTGGACTCGAACTTTTAAGAACTTTTTGCAAACTGCCAAAGTGAAAGAAGATACCTAAAAATAAACTTAATCTTGTAAGTTACCACAGGCTGGACTCATGGATGCACACCCAGTATATGATCTCAACCAATTAATGTCAATGGTAATGTAGAATGTCATATTTTTAGATAGATTGTGCAGTCGACAGGTGCAGTCCTTACGTTGTTTCATGGATTCCTTTTGGCATCAAGAATTTACGTGCTTACAGTACAGGTGTGGGCTAGACCCATTATAGTCCAAGAGCCCAGAGCCGCCAGACATACTTACTTTTATGTAGTATGAACGTATGTATACCCGCTAAGTTGGGTAGACGACCAATTTACCGACACGAGGTGCGAAAGCTGAGAAAAACTTTAACTTTTTTTCTAACGCTTGATTTTTATAATATGTTATGGACCAATCGCACCTGCCAAACATCCCCCCAGACCATTGACCACAGACGCAATAATAATTTTTCCGGGAGTGTGAGCGCAAGGGTACTATGCATGCGTTTGAGAGTGAGCGAGATATCTATGTCAACTGATTTCCCCCTCTTAAACTTACAGTCTACTCCAGGCTAGAGTAGAAATGGGAAGAACCGTTATTTACAAATAACAGTTTCAGCTATGAGTGCTACTCAATCCCACGTATTCTGTCCTTTAGAAAATAAGTTGTGCCTGGCACCTCTGGGCTCTTGAACTATTATTACGTTCCCTAATGTTTTTGTTGCATTTTGCGTCTCGCGGTTTTGTTCTATTGTTTCAATTTCAGACACTGAATATTTGTATTTAAACCTCTCGTTAGTCGTTATATTTAGTATCGTGCGAATTAGTGACTTTTTGTAGTTTTAGTATCGTTTTATTGTGACAGTAGTTTCAAGTGTGTGACTATAAGTTTCCAAAATGGGCAAAAGGTCGAAACCACGAGATAGTTCCAGCAGTTCAAATTCGAGTTCTAGTTCCGATTCGACTAGATCGAAAACAAAAACCGACAACTTTGCCCTGTGAATCCAGACCCAGGATGCGGCAGTT